AAAGTCTGTAATAAAGACTAATCGATTACATATATATGATCACGAAGATTGATTATTCGTGATATTAAATTAAAAGTCTGTAATAAAGACTAATCGATTACATATATATGATCACGAAGATTGATTATTCGTGATATTAAATTAAAAGTCTGTAATAAAGACTAATCGATTACATATATATGATCACGAAGATTGATTATTCGTGATATTAAATTAAAAGTCTGTAATAAAGACTAATCGATTACATATATATGATCACGAAGATTGATTATTCGTGATATTAAATTAAAAGTTTGTAATAAAGAATAATTGATTACATATATATGATCATGAAGATTGATTATTTGTCGATATTAATTAAAAGTTTGTAATAAAGAATAATTGATTACATATTTCAAGAAGAATGATTATTTGAATGATATGGTATTAATTAATAAAATGTTTATACCGATATTTTTTTACCTACAATTTTTCAACGGGTAAAATATGCTGTTTAAAAATATGTATTTGAAAATTTTGGGATTCTAGTTAGCTAAAGATAATTATAATATATAATTTTTAGAATAAAGTATGGATAATTTTACTATACAAGTTATTGATGGAATTGAGATGATTTATGAAGAGGATCTTGAATGTCTTAAGCGTTTGGAAAGCTTTGAAAGTGTTGGAACTGTTGATGTAAATAACAGTTTATAATCTTAAAAAATTAAAATATTTTAATTAAATTTCTAATTATAATAATTAATAGAGCTTGACCTCAGATGAAGAATCCGATGCTGAATATGATTCGGCAGTTGCATATGAAATAAATAATGAAAATGCAGTGACTTATTTTACAAAAGAATTAACATCTCATGTTGTTAATCATACATTGACACCTGTCGAATATCCTGCAACAAGTTCAGAGAGAGTTGCCTATGTGTTTAATATTGAAGGTTGGGAAGAGCCGTTGGCTGCTTTTAAAGATGTAAGTAATATAATAATAATAATTTTTTAATTAAACTTACTCTAATATATATTTATCTATTAGATACAATATTCAATTGGTAAACCCAGAGGTGAATATAAGATCATGTGTCTTTATCTTAATGTTGAAGTAAAACATGAAATGCGTACTTGTCAAAGTTCCAAATTGTGTGAATTTTCTGCTGATGAGCTTCAAAGTAAAACACATCAAAGTGTGAATATTGATTTAGATCTTATAACTCATATTATACAAGAAATTTCACCTAATAATTTAAACAATAATACTTTTGAGTAAGTTATTAAAGATAATATTTA